CCTTAAAGGTGACATATCATGAAAATCGGACTTTTTCCGTGTTTAAGTGCTTAAATTGTGTCCCCGGTGCATCTACCAACCCAGGAAACGTGAAAAAGATTAACCCATTAACTTTGTTTTGGTAAGCCTTTTTCTGCAAGCATCTGAAAAAATGAGTGCGTCAGATTTAGCTCCATTTATGACGTAGCAAAGGGATCTTATTATAATATTACCGCCCCTTAATCTGTACGTTTCCACCAGTTCAGGCGCCATGAACAAAGTTTGAGCAAAGTATGCTAATTGTTCTATCGTTAGCTGCACAGATGAGCACAGAACACTATTTAGAGTCCCAGCCTCCGAGGAGACAAGAGATCAGTGGATTTATTTATTTACTGTATATTATGCTGCTGCCATATAGATCTAATATAAATATGCGATTTGTTTTTGTAACGCGTGTGTTTTTAACAAACTTTAGTGTATTTGACAGTTTAAGCACAATAAGACATGAAAGAGAGCTTAGTTTAATACTCACATGCCGTGTGACAGCCGCTTTCTGTGCGCGTGCTTCTGATGTGTGTGCTCAGAAAACCCTATAGCAGAAGTTTAAACTAAAGTGGCTTTAAAACGCATGATTTCAGGGCGATAGACATAATAATTAAAGGGGTCATATGATGCGATTTCAAGTTTTCCTTTCTCTTTGGAGTGTTACAAGCTCTTGGTGCATAAAGAAGATCTGTAAAGTTGCAAAGACTAAAGTCTCAAATCCAAAGAGATATTCTTTATAAAAGTTAAGAGTCAACACGCCTACCTAAAACGCCTCGTTCTAACACGCCCCCACATATCTACCTCCTATTCTGGAAAAGGGGGCGGGGAGCAGCAGCTAATTAGCATTTAAAGATACAAGCACGAAAACAGCATGTTTTTGCTTCCTCTCAAAATAGGCATTTTCAAAATGATATAATGATCTGTGGGGTATTTTGAGCTGAAACTTCACAGACACATCCTGGGGACACCTGAGACTTATATTACATATTGTAGAAATGGGCATAGGTTACCTTTAAACATTTCCGATGTGGTCTGTGCATATTTGCTGCACGTTTCTGTATTTGGTTGTGTTGTGAGTATTTGCAGCGCATGTGTTGTCAAACTCGTGAAGATGTTTTCTTAATTTGTTGGTGTTTTTTTTCGATTTGCATGTGTTATTATTATTTTTTTCATTTGCAGCACGTTGAGCTCTCTCGGCCACCGTACTCATGTTTGCCCCATTGTATGACCTAGTTTCTAGTTTGATTGTTGTATTCAGTTCAACTGTGTTCTATTAATTATCCCATTAGTTCCTTTGTTTGGTCATGTACTTAAGTCATCAGTTCTCCCTCAGTGTTTGTCGGTTCTCGTTTATGTTGGCGTGTATTTTATTCCTGTCCCCAGTATTTTGTTATTAAAGTCTATTTCCTAGTGTTAATCCTCATCATAGTGAGCTTTATTACCACCAACCGTACACTAGGTGATTCCATTTTTTCCCCCAGCCCTAGTCCTCATGTGTCAAACTTATGGAAATTACAGTCAAAGTAAATACTACAAAGTAAAATAAATCAAGACAATGGATTTAGGCTTGACAAAGCCTTAAAATTAAAGTTTAGTTTATTCTTGTATGCATAACTGTAATACTCAGTAAAGAGCTATAATGTATTTAGAATTAGTATTTAAAGGTATACAATTGTAGATAGATAGATAGATGGATAGATAGATAGATCATAATCCATCATCCAGCATCTCACTATTGGCAATATAACTGGCACTTGAGTTGGGCAACCACGCTACTTTGTCACTCCTTCAAATGCAGCTGTCTGGAAGCCTTCAAAGATCAGTCCACCATTACAATGACATTTGGGTGTCATTCATTAACCCTGATCCTCATGAAGTAGATTTAAACTTTAGAGATTTAAATTTTAACTTAAACTTTTTAAGTGTTCTTCAGTATGTTTTAAAATACAGAATCATTCTTATGCTAAAGGTGATGTTTGCATTTTTTGATATTAAAATACTTTCTCCTGCTGCACCTTAATATGCAGAGACAACTATAAGTAAGCCATCTGTAGGTTGATTTCCATGAAAGCTAATACATTGCTCTGGAAACCTGTTTGTAAACAATTCTTCATTCACTTGCTTAAAAACTATTTTGGTTTTACTGGTTTTGATAATGGCACACTTTGCATTATTTGACAAATTTGCTGCAGATGCTCTCAGACAAGACAGAGAAGTCTCGAGAGTGAGAGATGTGAGCAGTGAGGTTGTACAGAATGTTCTAATAAGTGATTTTGCCACATTTTATTTAACAAATTAGTAGTTGTGGGCACATGCTCGCTCCCTCATATAATAATCCAGATTCATCTACATTTGAGTGAGCTGGCTAAGGACAAATTTATGTGCACAAACGGCTGTTGTGCATCTCTGAGAATTTTTCTGGTAACGTTTTCTCCACAAATAAATCCACAAATTGTACACCATTATTAGTGAATGAGGGCTATTATTTTTGCAATTCTTTTGGTAATGCTTTCAACACATAAATTACACCCATCATCTTTAACTGACTTAACTGACTGATTTAGTTAGAGAAAGCTAACAGCCTGTTGCCTGAATTATGCAAAGTAGTCTGAAGATGTAACATTCAGGATACAAGTTAAAAAAAGTTTGAAACATGCCTTTAATAGAACAACATTTGTGTTTTAAAACAGCGAGTCATGTGGGGTGTTTTCATTTTCTGCTGTCAATCAATTTATAAAAAATGTTCTTGACCACACTCTCACAAATGTTGTCTTTTTGATCTTCCATCTGTTCAGTAACCTCAAACTCTCTGCCATCGTATTCATCATTTAAATAAGCCACTGTTTCAGTCTTCTAAGCACATTTGGTGCACAAATACCCTCTGGCATCCCATTACTCCTACCTTTTCTCATTCAATATTGGCATTCCTTGACCTTTCTCTGTAAAGGTCAATGTGAAGTTCAAACAAGACTAGTAGAGCCTGTGGTCCTAATCCCCAAACTTCTGAACTGCTAGTTCCTTTTGATGTCATTTGGAGTTATACATTTTTATTTACAAAATATATATATTTTAAATAAAACATTTAATATTTTAAATGTATTTTAAATTTGAAATTTAATAGTTAAATATTTTGAAATTGCAACTATACAACTTTATCAGTGTGGTTGACATGAAGTTTTAAAGGAGGAGTTTTACAAAAAATTTTTTTATTTATTTATTGTTCCCTATGTAATTCCAAACCCTTTTGTTTTTCCATTTCAAAAGAATGTTCATTTTTGGATCATGTGTTCCTTTAAGTTTCTATCAGGGAGATTGTTTCTATCAGGGTGCAGATTTCTTGTAATTTATCCCAGAATTTTAAATATGAAAACACTAGCTCCTCTGTGTTTTCAAACTTTCAAGCTATCTCACTTTCTGAGTTGTCAGACATTATTTTAAATATGAAATCAACTACTTGTTCTTGTGATGTTGTTCCTACAAAGCTGCTGAAGGATGTTCTGCCCTCTGTTTTGCCTAGCTTACGCTCCATTATTAATGGTTCTGTACAGACAGGCACTGTCCCTTCCTGTTTTAAACATGCTGTGGTCCAGCCTTTACTCAAAAAAACAAATCTTGATCCCACTGAATTAAATAATTATAGGCCTATTTCAAAACTGCCATTTCTGCACAAAGTTTTGGAAAAGGTTATATGTAACCAGATTTCCCTCTACCTAAATTCTAATGATATTCTGGATCCTTTTCAGTCTGGCTTTAGAGCAAAACATAGTACTGAGTCAGCTCTTTTAAGAGTAGTAAATGATCTCTTGTTATCTGCAGACACTGGTAACTGTACTATTCTCTTATTATTGGACCTGAGCGCAGCTTTCGATACAGTAGATCACAGTATCCTCTTAAAAAGATTAAATCTTGAGGTTGGCATTTGTGGTACTGCATTAGACTGGT